GTCCAAGGAAGCAAGGCGAGAGCATCGCCTTTGCATTACGGAGCAGCACATCCCCTTTCCAAGCGTGGCATCTCTCAAGGGATGCCGTGGTACCCGCATCGCGAAGCTCTTCTCTAGCACGTGGTTTTCAGGAAAATGAGCGAGAGGGGCAGAAGTGAAGCCCAAATGGCCTGAAAGTCCTGTTATCATCTAACCTCTCATCCGGCCAGTCTGGAGGCATTTTTCCCCCAGCGGAGCCACTTGCTCTGGCTCCGGTTCTGGTTCTACCCTCCTGGAGTCCTGGGACCCCCTTTCCTCCCCTTTCCACCACTGCGCCCCAGGATCTCGCCCCGGGCAAGGGGTTGGGGAGCTCTGCTCGGGGCACCCTGGGGTGCAGGGGGAGGGCGCCAGGGCCACCCTGGGTGTGCGGCTCCCTGGGGAGCTGGAGGCTACCGTGGCCCCACGGGGGTTGGATGTGACTGGGACCTGACTCGGGGAGATGAGCAGATCCTGGTCCTGGCCCCGATCCTGGCCCTGATCCCAGTCCCGAAGGGGTCGGCACGTCCCAATCCCGGCCCCAGGGTGCAGGCAGGTCCTGGTCTGGACCCCAATCCTGGTCTCAGGGGGAGGGAGGGGGTGGTCTGGTCCTGATCCCAGCCGCGATCCAGCCCCAGTCCTGGCCCCGATCCTGGCCCCCAAGGAGGTGATCAGGTCCCGATCCCAGCCCCGGTCCTGGCCCCGATCCCAGCCCCGGTGGGGGCAGTCAGGTCCCAATCCCAGCTCTGATCCCAGCCGCAATCCCAGCCCCAGTCCTAGCCCCGATCCCGGCTCCGGTGGGGGCAGCCAGATCCCGATCCCAGTCCCAGATGGGGGAGGGGGACAGGTCCTAATCTCAACCCCGATCCCAACCCCAGTCCTGGCCCTGGTCCCAGCCCCCGTGGGGGTGATCAGGTCCCGATCCCAGCCCCGATCCCGGTCCCAGTCCTGGCCCCAATCTCAGCCCTGGTCCTGGCCCCAATCCCAGCCCCGGGGGGGAGCGGTCAGGTCTCGATCCCAATCCCGATCCCAGCCCCAATCCCAGTCCCGGTCCTGGCCCCCATGGGGGTGACCAGGTCCCGATCCCAGCCCCGATCCCGG